CCCAAGAACACGACACAATGTCCCCGGCCAGGGCTCGAACCCGGACCGCTCGATCAGGAGACGAGCGCACTAACCATGAGGCCACCGCGCCTCCCACTGTAAACTGTACTAATACTGTAAAAATACCTGCAATCCTTGTCAATTTGTAACAGCACCTCGTTGTCTTTAAAAAATGCCAGCCACTGGCTGTCGGGATTTGGGTTCAAAGGCTACAAACATTCAAACAAGAATACATCAAGTGTTGTCACAGAAAGTCTGTTTCAAGATTAAAAAAAAGGTGTTTGCAAGTTTCTTATGTCATTACTGAATTCACATGTTCATTAAAAACATATCCTTGATCAAAGAACCATTTACCTTGCTGGCATCTTAAGCTACAGAGGAGGGATGCAGTCCCAGGGGGGTACTTTGGGAATTTCTGGGTGGGGATGTGCCACTGGGACCCTGGAACCCTTAGCCTATACCAGAGCTAATTCAGCTGAATTTTGCTAACCTATACTAGAGTAAACTCCCCAAATCCCCCTATCTATTGACACTGTTGAGGCTGATTTGCATAAATTTAAACTTGCCGATTTGAGTTTTTTTTATTTTTGAAATGGCAATTCCTGGTTTCCTTACTCTAGATGAAATCTTCAACCAACCAGTCAGTTTTGTGAAAAATGATACCCTATTCCAGGGTCCGAAATTAACTTTTTTCGGCAGGCGCCAACTGGCGACTGAAATTTTTTTTTCAGTCGCCATATGAAAAAATGTGACTGCCAAAAAGTGTCAATAAAATTTTTCCTTCGCAGCGAAACACAAACCAAAATTTTTGGTTGCCATTTCCACCGTTTGACACCCAGAGAATATCTAAATCTTCATCTAATTTCTTTGCCGATGTTCCGTCTCCACTTTGTGGTAAATTACGGAAAGATTTCAGAACATCTTTGGACACCACATCGTCTGAATAAATTCATGGCGAAAGAACGCATGGGGCCTCTTGCGCCCGCAATACGTATGTTATGGGAAACCGCTGAAAAAACGTGGCGGCGAAGCTTCACACTGATAGCAGCTGTAAAACGTTGTGGTAGATTTATAATAACGGGAAAATCGGTTTTATACTTCAAAAGCAGCGAAAAGGTAAAAAGGTTCAGTGACCAATTGGCGGGCGGCTTTGAATTTTATTTTAATCGATTTGGCTGAAAATCAAAGTTATTGTTTGTATAATTATCGTGGCATGAAATAGTTAATCGCTCGCTGGTGACCAGTTGTGAAATTCTGGTCACCAGTGCAAACTTTTTAGTTGCATTGGCGACCAGGAAAGCGCAATTTCGGACCCTGTATTCTAGACCCAAACGCTCTGATTTATATACCCTATCCTAGAGTAAACTGCTTGAACCATACCCTTCACAGCGGCACATACCTATATAACCCATATATGGCAGTGCCCCCCCGGGGATGCAGTGTTCTATGTGTTCTATTCTGACTACAGTTGAACCTCCTGTAAGGGGACACCCTCGGGACCAGAAAATGTGTTGGCATTAAGAGAGTGTCAGCTTATGGGAGGTTAAAAGTACAGTGTTTCAATGTGGTTGATTATGGTTAAGTCTGCATACGAGCCAAGTGGCCCATCAGGCCAGCGCTTCTCTTTGGTTTCTGTAGCATGAAGGGACTAGGAGTATTTCTACTTCCCTCTGGACAGAATGCTAGTCCATCACAGGGTTACCCCCAGCATTAAATTCACCAATACCCATTTATACACCTGGGTGGAGCGATGCACTGTGAGAGTTAAGTGTATCACCCAAGAACACAACAAGATGTCCTCTCCACTCAATGTGCAGCCAAGCGCACTAACCATGAGGCCACCACACCTCTTTATGTGGTTGGAACCATTTACTAAATGTCTGCTTAGTGGAGGTGTTGATAAGCACAGGTCTGACTGTATTTCTAAGCTTATGCACAACAAGAAGGTGCAGTGCAGATTGAAAGTTGCTTTCAAGCTTCACTACTTCTGGGATCTTGGCACTTACATGATCAACATCAAACTCCTTGGAATCCTTTCCAGACTTCGTTCCTTTGCATTGTTCAATGATAATCTCTTCAACAAACTGTTTGTAAGTGGACCTTTAAAATATAAATAACAAATGAATAAAGCTACATTGAAGAACAAAATGCACAACAAAGTTCCGATAACATTAAGGGTACAGATTGGCGGCCAGGAATATAATTATGGTGACACCTAGATCATACCGGTAATTCTTTCAGACTATTACAAGACATAAATTTTAATTATTACTCTTAACAGTACTGTGCACCTCTCTACCCACAAAACAAAGACTGATAGGTACAAAATTGGAGAGTTGATGTTCTTTTTTCTATTTATTTGATTTATATTTGTTTGATATTGTATTTTGCACTTATCAACCACATTCTTGAAAGAAAATTTTCTTTGTAAAGCCAAAATGTGGTCAAGATAACATGGATTAAACTTTTAGCTTCTTTAATGTAACCTGATTTTGTCACAATCTAGCCCCACTTTCCAGTTAGGGGTGACTATTTGCCCTATGTATCTGGGCAAAATAAAAGAAAACAGAACCAGAAATTCATAGCTCCAGTTTGGTCATGCATATGCATCCAGAGTTTAATTATGAGTTCTGAACAGGAACATGTCTCAAAAGAGCAACGCAACCACTGTGATTTCTTCAAGGTCCAAATTCTTAGATTACTTTCAAAAGCAAATTGAAATGGATGCCACATGGGTGAATCATAATAAGGAAGTGAGTCACCAAACAAGCCTTGCAACATACCTCTGTCTCTTAAGAGTTTCAGGCCAAAGATCTTTTTGGGGAGGAAGGTAACCTAAGAGCAGCTTCAGGAATAAAATAGATTAATAACAATTTAGAATGGCAATACTTCTGTTACTATCAATAATTATCCTTATACAACATTTGACTTGAGGGCAGCCTTTTAATAAACATTAATGGCCGATAAAAAGCACTAGAAATGTTGTCAAGCAAAGCCAGCTACTTCCTTCCAGTCAGGATCAAACGTTCTAAATCTTACATGTCACTTGTAACAAGAGATCACAAAATATCCTGAGGCATGTGATTATTGAAGCTGGGAATACCATTTGTGTGAAGGCCAACTTGATATTTCAAAGTTGCCCCAAGTTACTTTCCATGCACTTTGCATTTATTTTGGCCCATGTCATATGCATGACATAAACCTTTTGTTATTTTCAGAAGTATGACAGGTAGAAATCCATCTTTGTTTTCATATCTGTGATAAATGTGTGGGTCTTATTAAGCCCTCTTTTTATCAAGCTATCCTTAAGGTAAGCCCCCCACCCCACCCCTGGCCTCTACCAAAACTGGTGAAACTATAACCAGTCAATGTCCAACACAAACTGTGGACTGCAGACTGCAGACTGCAGGTAAAAGGTAAAGTCTGCGTACGAGCCAAGTGGCCCATCAGGCTGGAGCTTATCCCGGTTTCCGTAGCATGAAGCGACTNCCCAAGAACACAACACAATGTCCCTGGCCAGGGCTCGAACCCGGACCGCTCGATCCAGAGACGAGCGCACCAACCATGAGGCCACCATGCCTCCCAGACTGCAGACCAGGGGTAAAAATAATGTAGACTGCAGAATAAAGACTTTTCAAGTATATATCATATTATTTCCATTTCGAGTGTTAATCTTACAGTACCGCTCAAAAGTAAGTTACCACCCTCTCGCGAGACGAGACTCTCGTCTCGCGAGAGCTTGAAAAAACTGTAAGTACCACTGCTTGAATTTCTTGCGAGACTTTAATAGCCTATTGTAATGCAAACTTGCAAGCACGCAGAAAATTAGCCAAGCGTAACTTCGCGCGCTCGAACGAAGCGTTTGCCGAACTCTGTTGTTTGGTTATCACGTTCATTTGAGGTTTGACTCTTAAACTTTTCAAATCTACTTGGCTCAATAGTCGTATCCAAGAATATGCTGCAAAGTTTACTATTTTAAATGGAAATCACGTCGTTCGTGGGCTTAAGGAAAAGTGCTCAAACCTGTACGATGAAAGTTTGCCGATCGATCGTATCGTCCTCTTTTGTCAACTACATAAAGCGAAAGTCGTGGATATTGAAGTTATTTATTTACTTTAACCGGTCATTTAGAAAGGTTTGTAGACCTGGAAGAAAGCAGTGATGAAAACAGTGTCATGTTTAAAAGCAAATAGGTACAGAGACTTCTTAGCTTTTGTGTCATTCTGCTACCACAGCCAGTCTGTGGCAATCAGCATTTACTCAAACTGGCTAATAAACATGGCATAATGGGAATTATATGAAATGTACCTGTGAATAATGCCATGTTTATGAAGATACTCCAAAGCCAGAACAACCTGTTTTGAGAAAATAAACAAATGTTAAATGTAATTTAATATGTGACTGTAAAATTGCTTTGCAGCTTCTGCAATCCACCTAGCAATGGGGAACAAGTTAATTAAACAGACAGCACAGCACCATGCATGCTCATTCATCAGCTAAAAACTCTGTAATCAAATTATGTTAAGCAGCAAATGGAGCCAACTGGTCAACAATGCCAATAACTATATGAACTGTAGCACAGGGCAACATTACAGGATGGATACCCAGGCTACCTTCAGCATTTTCCTATGACTGAACACAGTCACAAGCATTTAACCGGCCTACAACTGGACACAGGCCTGGCACTGTGAGAGCTAAATTAGTATCTCTCCCAAGAACATACATGTAACAAGATAATTGTGGTCCCCAAAGTCACCCCTCTATCACAGCCAGCTTTTCTTTGGCACAAGTAAACAGTGGCTTGGAAACACAAATCAAAAGAAAAATTTTCATGCACTTGATCTGGTTTGAAATTTTTATAATCAAGCAGCTTGGTTTTAGTTTCCTCAGTTTCACATTAATTTTGATAGTAAACACTGTGTAAAGGAAACTAAATATCAAATTAAATATCATATATGTGCTGGTCATTTAGGGCACCTAGCAATTTATAAATAAACTCCGACATAAAGAATAGTATTCAACCTGTGCTATATAAATTCTTGACATTTTTTCATCAAAATATCCCAGGTTATGCAACAAAGATTTGCAGTCTCCTCCAATTAAGTATTCCATAACCTGTATTGAGAACAAATGATAGTAGTTATTTAACGTCATGTGGAGAGTAAGAAAAAAGGAAAAAAAAAAGAAAAAAAATTATGTGTCAATGAGTTTTAGCATTGCTGCTAATTGGTAGGTAGGTAAAGTCTGCATATGAGCCAAGTGGCCCGCAAGGCCGGAGCTTATCTCAGTTTCCGTAGCATGAAGCGACTAGTAGTATTTCTACTCCCTCCTGGATGGGATGCTAGTCCATCACACGGTTACCCCAAGCATTAAGTTTGCCGGTACCCATTTATACATCTGGGTGGAGAGAGGCACTATGAGAGTAAGTGTCTTGCCCAAGAACAGAACACAATGACCCCGGCCAGGGCTCGAACCCAGACCACTTGATCCTGAGACGAGCACACTAACCATGAGGCCACCACGTCTCCCACTGACACCTAAAATAAGTTACGAGTTAAACAAATGTTGGCTTAATTGTTGTCAGAAAGGCTGCAATGTGTTGTTTGGCACCTAACATCCTTAACATATTAATAGCCCTTTCTTTTGACCTGGATTTTATCATTCCTTCCTTTCTCAACATTGTTTCCATAGACCATAAATTCAGTAACAGCATAATTATTTAGTTGTAAGTTGTACATTTTGTAAATTTATTTGTTAACTTTTAGAAATTGAGACAATTTAATAGATAGCTCATTAAGCTTTATTATAGTTCTCAATGAATAGGCCAGTGTCTGATTGCATAATTGTTTGAATATCAATACATACATAAACCTAAGCCTTGTAATGATTCAAAGAATCCTTTGACTGGAAACATAAGCTAAGTTTTTCAGTAATGTTTATCTACCAATGGATAGTTATTCAAGTTCTGAGTGCCATTTATAAATTTGGTCTAGGACAGTAAGTACATGATACAGTGTCGGTCAGATGTGAGTTGATAGTCACGTGAAACTTGAGCAAGTCGACTTGATCTTCAATCCTCAATACCAAAAAATTTTATGAATTGATCAAGCTTTGAGTCAAATCATTTTAAACTTTCCAATCTCGTTGCATTGTTAGGGTTTCGAGTCAAGTCACTGGAGTTTCTATCTGTTGTTTGCTGCTATTTTTATGTACTTTAATAAGAGAAATAAATTGTTCCCTTGGAAAATTTTTTGACCGTCTTCCAACTTGAAACGCGAAACTCAACCCTTGAGACTTGAAACTGAAGCCTCAAAACTTGATTCTTAAATCTCAAAAGCATGAAAGGTGAAGAACTGAGTTTCAGGTTAAGACTGTTAACTTACATAAACCCTTAAATAAACTTAAATAAACCCTTACCAGAAAAATTCTGTCTTTTGATTGAAAGGAATAGAATAAGTTTACAATATAAGGACTCTTCGCAATTGCCAGGCAATCTCTTTCAGCTACAACTGCAGAAAGGGAATATTAAATGAATGGTTAATCAATCATAAATTCAGCAGTTAATTTATGATGCTGCAACAATAGTTATCACACATAGGGTTGAAACACTTTGTTATTGGTAACTTTAGTTTATGTACATATTTAGTATATTTTAATATTGTGATGTGCTTTTGATCATTGTATGTTAAATAGTGCAATATAAATTAATAAAGTATTATTATTTATTAAACAATCTGTTTTCATGTCTCTTCACCATCCATGACCACTCCTCTCAGAGCATCTTTATTGCCTCTATCCCACACGCTTCCACCACCCACCACCCTGTTCCAGGCTCCTCTGGGTGTCTCCAATTCCCTTCTACACCCAGATCCCCCTGAGACTTTAATTATGACCCTATTTTAAATGATTGCAGAAATTCCTGCCTCCCCTATTACCTTTTCATAATCTGATTCAAAGGCATGGTCTGAAAATAAATGTGATCACTCTATAAAGTTTAAGCATAAAAATTTTAAAGCATAATTTAATGTTAGATTCTCTCAAGGAAAATGGGGAAATTTAAGAAAACAGTAACAAGGAGTTCATAACTTTGATACAACTTGAAAAGGGTTAAGGAGATAGACAGCAAAATTAACCATTATTTACCATGTTTACCTTGTTCTATCATATTTTTATTAACAACGTCCGTCTTCTTGACAACCTTGATGGCATAAAATTGTTTGTCTTTGTCTCTTCTACGAGCTAGAAATACCTGTCTGGAAATGTTAAATTAAACAAATATTACCTGCAAACAAATGTCAGCACATAACAAATGAAGCTATTTTAAGCCTAGGTAGAAATTGTCAATCGTTAAGTCTTCAAATGCAGTAACTTACCCAAATGCACCTCGGCTAATTGGCTTGATAATGTGAAAATCATCTA